AACTGAGGTATCACTGTAAACGATGGATCCCTCTAGTAATTTCTACATCATGTTCTTGCTTCATGGGAGCTTGAGGCCACATATGGTGAGGTTCATTCAACAAATATTTATTGAGCAACTACTCTGTGCCAGGGCCTGTATCAGGCACTGGAAATACAATAATAAATAAGAGTCCCTGCCCTTAAGGAGCTTACAGTCTAGCATAAGAACTTACAGCACCTTAGAATCTACTGAGAAAGCTTTCTGGGTATCTAGCATATTATCTGAAACACTCCAAGTTTCCTGAAAATATGAATCTAAAATTTACTAGAAAGCAGTTTAGAAATGAAGGATGCAGCAAAATTTAAGAGAAAATTCAAATATTTACTCTTCAGTGTAAAAACCATGAAATCTAAATGAGGAAGAAACTTAGAAAAGCTGAAAATTCAACCTGTTTTAAAGACTTTAGACGAGTTTTAAATTTTAAAAATTATTTTATCTCTGGGTAACATTTTCATATCCATACACAAACATATAGGAGGTATGTGTATGTGCAATATGCTCCTAGGGCTTCTGATAAAACCCACATATCTCTATCATTAATTAATTTCAACTAAAGAAAGCAGCATGAAGATAAATCAGACTTTTCTTTCAATAATAAATTCCATTACTATTTGGATGGGAAAAAAGAACATCATTTAGAATCATCTCTAGGATATAAATTCTAGTACAGACTAAACTGTCTTTGTAATGTGATAATTTAAGCATATATTTTAATGGCTATTGACAAAGTTAATGGCATTTAAAATAGTCTTAAATCTGTTCGGATTTTTTTTTTCTGTACTCTTCCTCAAAGGCATAAAAGACCCCTGTGCAAATAAAGAACTTTTGTTGTTGCTTTGCTGTACTTTGGTACATTGCTATTTATTTCTTGATGTAGCAGCATCCTTCCTCAGTTTGTAGTATCTCACCTAAATTGCAACTGAAAAATCACTAACCTAGGCTTTAACTGGAATCTTCTACTTCACAGAAAGTACGTGGAAAGCAACCAAGGATGCTGTCTCACAGACTGTGCACCCAGTTTGTTTAGCTCTTACTGTAGACGCTGAACAGCCTTGATTATTTTATGTCCCAGCTCATAACAGACGGACACAGCACATTAGAAGAAAAATGTTAAGAGGCAGGCATGTTGTTTAAACACACTATTTAACAGATATTAAAACATGAAGAAATTAGCAATTGGGGCAAATTATTATATACACCCCAAAGTTGAGGGAATCCCTTCATAAGATATTAACTCATATTTGTTATAGCCCTTTATAAATTTTATGAAATATTTATATACATCAGAGCTCACTGGGTATTTGTACTAATACGTTATGTAACTTTAGTGAGTTATACTGAGCATGCTAAGGAGGCAGGAAGGTATACTAACATACCTGAAAGACTTTCATCAAAAATAACTACAAGTTTTAAATTTTGGCACTTAAGAGATATGCATCAGTTATCCAAAATTCCTATGTATGGTTTCCTGTATGACGTACATGGGTGATACTGAGTGGATTTCCATAGCACTCAGGGGCTGCTGGTCATTGCAGATGATTGTCATCAGTAAGTCATCAGAGTATTTCTCCTGTGAAATGCAAGTTGAACAGATACCTATCGATGCCAGTACCATATCTTGTAAATACTATGGGAAACACTAGGTTTCTACAAGACTCGGACTTTCCAGAGAATATAGAATTTTGCTTTAGCCACTTTTCTTCCACAACTGAAAATAAGGAACTACCGTGCATTTGATGTACCCAACACTTTCAACATAGCATTCTCATACTGTCCTGAGAAAGGCTTTTTAAAACATAAAAACAATTTATTCTACATTTACCAATAATTATGCTATTTACCAATTATCATGAATAAAAATGACTCAATGCAATTGAGTAAAATATATACCGTGGTGTTGGAATGTATAATTTCTTCCAATAGTATACCATTCCTAATGCCCTTTAATTCCTTGATTAATATTCCCTGACTTCCTTTTTTTTTTCGGTCAAGACTATACCTCAAGGAGGATTTGGGGGTTGTTGTTGTTTGTGGTTGTTAAAAAATTTTTTATTTTTTATTTTTTGGTACCAGGAATCAAACTCGGGCCCTTGTGCTTGCAAGGCAGAACCTCTGAGCTAAATCTCTGGCCCCTATTTTTTTGTTTGTTTTTGGTACCAGGGATTGAACTCTGGTCCTTGCGCTCGCAAGACAGCTGGCAGAACCACTGACTAAATCCTGGCCCAGTTGTTAATTTTTAAATTCTCATCTGTGTGGCTATATACATATATATTTTTGTTTGTTTTGAGACAGGGTCTCACTATGTAGTTGACACTGCCCTGGAACTCACTATGCAGCCCAGGCTGGTCTCAAACTCTTGTGGCTGTATTTTTATGCTACTTTTTCATTTTCTTTTCTATTTCAGGTGCTTATAATACTTGAGGGTTTTTAAAAGTTAGGAATGGACTATCTGGTTGCCCTGAGTTTATGGTATTTATTCTCATGGAAACTGTCAGGATCATAAATGTTCTTTCACATGGTACAGAAAATAATAAGGCTAGTGTTGTAAAACAAAAAACAAAACCCTCCAGAAGATACTAAACAAGGAAATTAACAGGTCAGTTTATCATCCTTTACAAACTAAGATCAAAATGGCACAGTAACACAATTTTTAAACTAAAACAAATAAACTTGGGTCTGGATCCCAGTGTGGCCACTCATTGTCAATTCTAATTTCAAGCAAGTCATATAATCTTTCTAACCCATCATTACTGCCAAAGTAATTCAGGGCAATTCTACCTATCTTGCAAGATTTGTGTGAAGGTTGGTAGTAAAGAAGGTATGTATAGTAGCATACTATAGGTGTTCCACAGTGGTTCAAAAATCACTGAGTCAGGACACATGTGAGTCCAGCATCTGACATGGAATGCCTTCCAAAGCTGATACAATTTATAGAATCCTCTTTTGAATGTCAGTGTGGTCTTTGTATTTCATGGCTTACCTTTCCTTTTTTTTTCTGGTAGCAGGGATCAAACTTGGGCTTGCAAGGCAGATGGTAGAACCATTGAGCTAAATTCCCAGCCCCATGGCTTACTTTTTTTTTTTGGTTTTTTGAGACAGGGGCTCACTGACTAGATGAGACTGACCTGGAACTCACTATGTAGCCCAGGCTGATCTCAAACTCACAGTGATCCTCCTGCCTCAGCCTCCCTAGAGCTGGGATTACAGGCGTGCGCCACCATGCCTGGTCATGCTTACTTTTAATAATAACATTTTGGGGTGTTTTTAAATTTTCACCATCAAAACTAATATTTTAAATAAGTGGGTTTTTTGATTTGTTTGTTTAACATTTTTTGGCCAATCTATATGTTTCCTGTGTTTTTTTTTCAATGACCACAAAATTTTCAATTTTTAGGTAAGATAATTTTCTTTTAAAAATTTGTCCTGGAGCCAATATTATTCCATGTGAGATGTACATCTATACATGTGTGTTCAGCAGGCCCTATAAAGAAGCATCATTTTAATTCATGTACTTGGGTTTAAACACTTCTATTAAATGTAAAACACTTTTCTTCTTACGACTAGCATTTTCAGCATCTACTCTTATGCCTTCCTTTTTCAATCTATTGCCAGTTTAAGGGTATTAACAATAATACAATTTAAAAGACAAAGTGTTCACAAGTTATTTTAACAGCCAGCAAAAGACAGTAGAATTATCCTGAGCACAGAATTAGGAGATTGAATTCCAGTCCTGGCTCTGCCACTAACTTTGCAAGCTGACCTTGGGCAAGTCACTTTTCTATTTTGTCAAATGAAAATGATACCATTCCAAATTATTTTCCACCTCTAAAATTGCCTTCATTTATTTATTATTATTTAACTAATCAAAATGCCTGTGGGGATTGTATTAAGCACCAGATGGGTATGAATTTATTTACTGATGTTTAAAATTGCATTTTGCAAACTGTGATCTGGAGATCACTTGACTAAAGACTATGTGGGATTCCTGCTAAAAGAGAGATTCTTGTCCTCTCCATGCCTGAATCAGAATCTCCTAAGTAAGGCCAAGGTTTCTGCATTTTCACAAGCTCTTCAAAGCTTATGTTGCACCCTTATATTTCAGAACTACTGGCCTACAGAGTATGTGACCTACAAAGGCAAGCCTAGCACAAGGCTTAAATTACTCCAGCCTCCAGCATATCCTTTCTAAATACAATGTCCTTCAAAGTGGAGGAGACTGGAAGACAGCAGCCTATTCAACAGAGCAGCAGCCTTGTACTTTCCCTTACCTGATGTTTTTATTTGCTGTGTTTCTTAACAAACACAAAGAAGGTATTCATATCAATGCTTGGCTGTGACATGAAGCCAATGACTACGAGGGTTCTAACAACAGTTTGAAGACAACTGAACTTTCCACTCACTAATGAGAGTGAGCTTGTGGCCCCTGGCTCAAGGAAGAAAGACTGAGCACAATGACACTTATTTACTCTTGATCTCCCTTTTATCCCAATGCTGATAACATACCATCCTGTGTGATTCAAAGAATCTGGCAGAGAAAACACAGAATCTAAGTCACACTGCTCTCATCACTCTGTGGCCAGATATTGTACTAAAATAATAAATAAATCCTCTTCTGTATATCAGAAATGACTAAAGCCCATCCCTTTTCCTTTGCTTTCCTTTCTAGTGCTGTTGACAGGAATAAAATCCCAAGTAAGAACATATGTTAGACATTTTAGATTCATACAAGTAAATTACAAAGAAGTAGTAATATTTTTTTCTAGATTTTTACAACAAAATCTCTGCTACATGAAAAAATTGTATGATTTTAACAGGAAACAGGAAGATATTTCGTTGTAAGACTAACAGTTATAAGAATAATACAATTATCTGTGCTCAATATATATA